AGCTCCTCTGCCAGCTCCCTCAATACTCTTGGGTGAATCCCATCCAGCCCCACAGACTTGTGAGCATCCAGGTGGCATAGCAGGTCATTAACTGCTTCCTCCTAGACTATGGGGGCTCCATTCTGCTCCCCGTCCCTGTCTTCCAGCTCAGGGGGTTGAATACCCTGAGGGTAACTGGTCTGGCTGTTAAAGACAGAAGCAAAGAAGGCGTTAAGTACTTCAGCCTTTTCCTTGTCCTCGGTGACAATGTTCCCCCCCATATCCAGCAAAGGATGGAGATTCTCCTTGGCTCTCTTTTTATTGTTGATGTACTTGTAAAAACATTTTTTATTATCTCTTACAACAGTGGCCAGATTGAGTTCTAGCTAGGCTTTTGCTTTTCTAATTTCCTCCCTGCATGACCTAACAAGATCCCTGTACTCTTCCTGAGTTGCCTGCCCCTTCTTCCAAAGGTGGTACACTCCCTTTTTTTCCCCCCTGAGTCCCAGCAAAAGCTCCCTGTTCAGCCAGGCCGGTCATCTTCCCCGCCGGTTTGTCTTACGGCACATGAGGACAGCCTGCTCCTGCGCCCTTAAGACTTCCTTCTTGAAAAAGGCCCAGCTTTCCTAGACCCCTTTGCCCTTCAGGACTGCCTCCCAAGGGACTTTCCCAACCAGCGTCCTGAACAGGCCAAAGTCTGCCCTCCGGAAGTCCATGGTAACAGTTTTGCTGCTCCTCCTCCTTACATCACCAAGAATTGAAATCTCTATCATATCATGGTTGCTAAGCCCAAGATGGCCTCCAACCATGACATCTCCCACAAGTCCTTCTCTGTTTGTAAACAGCAGATCAAGTGAGGCACCTCCCCTGGTGGGCTCACTTACCAGCTGCGTCAGGAATTTATCTTCCACACACTCTAGGAACTTCCTAGACTGTTGCCTCTCTGCTGTGTTGTATTTCCACAGCAGATGTCCTGCAAGTTGAAGTCCCCCACGAGAACAAGGGCTAGCAATTGTGAGACTTCTGCCAGCCGCTTATAGAATGCTTCATCTATCTCTACATCCTGGTTGTATGGTCTATAGCAGACTCCCAACAGGATGTCTGCCTGTTGATGACTATCATTGATGACATCTTGTTCCAAAAACATTTTTTCAAACTGCTTCAGCAACCTTGGAGAGCTAGATTATCCTCACAGTCACTTGTATTTCAGACAATTATGATAAGCATTATCTCCAAAGACTTGTCTGAACATGCTACATTTATATACACATTCCTTAATGCTAGGCTAGGGTGAGTTCTGAAATAATTAAGATTCTACTAAGTGAATCAGAAATTATTTTAGCCATGAACTGTGTGTCTCCAACATGTATTAGCTTATCAAGAAAACAAAAAATACATTCAATTTTAGCATAACTTTCAATAAACTGAAGGCACCTAAGAAATACCCTCTGTAAAAGAACCAATGGTAGAGGTGTAGTGTATCATTTTTAATTAAATAGCAACAGAGCTGTCCAGCTTCCTATAAGCCTGTCAAAACTAAATCAACTTGACCACACAGCTATGAAAACATTAACAACATTGCAAACTTGATTCACAACCTTTTTTATGCAACAGAACTGAAGTGCAGTGCACCAACACCTTAAGGCACAAGGTTTCAATCTTGATGATCTTGGGGTGTCAAGCTTTCTGAAGTTCAATACCATAAGGCTAAAATGGAGTATTAAGAACAGACCACACAAAGTTAGTCTCACCAATTCTTCCAGCCTCAGCAGAGTACCATTATCCTGGGCTTTAAACAGGAATGGTTTGGATGAGCTTTCATAGCCAACTACTCTTACACAAAGTTCACCAGATGAGTTTTCAGGCCAAAATGGAAGACACTGTAAAACAAGAAACATGCATGACTTTAAGAGTTCATATATGTTCGATATAGTAAGCCAGCAGTAAAACAGTCTTGTGCAACTAAAACTATTTCAAATGCCTTAGTTCTTACCGCAGTATCTACTGATGAACATCTCATCTACATTTAGAAAATTATCTAAACTGAAGGACTTGATTAATTTACCAACATATGCAACCTGCTGTTCAAGTTGCCCTGAGATGTGAAGTATCCACATCATACCATGAGAAGCGACAGAGCTTCTATAAGAGAACTGCTTTTTCCTTAAGTGACAGCTAGAGACCAGATGTTTGTCTACAATAACATCCAAAGGAAAAAACCTGAAACATTACCTCTGAAGCAGAAATGTAGTTCCATTTATTAGTTGGAAGAGAGCCATTAGGACCAATTTCTCCAACTTCTAGTTCTAGTGAAGATTTGTTTGCTATTGTGTAGAATGGAGTGAAGGTAACTATCCTAGTAAGGTTAAAACTGCTCATTTTGATGCTAACTCCAACCTGTTGAACAAGGAAAATTTGAGCAAACAATCAACAACAAGCTTAAGAGAAAAGTCAGGATGGAAAAAAAGGAAGCCAACATTACTGTAATTACAAAGGCTAGCACATAACACTCCTGTTCTGAACACCTGTAACAGAAGAACCAAACAGCATGCAGTAAAATCAGCAAACTATGCAACACAATTAACACAATGGTAAATAGAGATTTTTAGCTGTAGCAGTTGTGGGGAAAATCCAACAGGAATCCCTCTACAGTAAATCAAGACAACTTAAAATGATCCTGTGGTCAGAGACAGGTTAAATAGTATATGGAAACACAATTCCCCACATATCTACATATTATTATAAAGTGTATTCTTTGTTCTGCTTAGTTGTGGAAATGTAGTCTTAGACAAGGCTGCTCAGTGAAGGTCTATACACTTGCAAACAATTATGAATTTTTTAATGTGAACTCTTACCTCCACTATGCAAGTTCATGATTGTATTTTCGAACACTCTAGTACTACATATTTGTTATATAAACCACACGTTTATGAAGTACCCTGAAAATTCTGTTGGTGAAACTACTTGTCGCCAGGTGCAGACCTGAATAGTTGGGGCATAAAAATTATTACCCTACATGTTAAATATTTCCATGATTTAAAAGCAGTGTAAGTAGTGAAACAAAGGCCTTAAGGAGAAAAAGAAGTCAAGCCAAAAGAACACCAAGAGAGCTCCACAAAACACAGAAACTTATCTTACCAGATAGTCCATGTTATTAGCTGAACACCTGACACATCCATAGCTTCCTACAGTATCAAGCGAAAAGCTACTGGACCAAGCGCTAGTTGAAATACATAACTGGATCTACACACAAAAAAGAACAACATGGAAAGTACTTCAGTATATTAATTTTATAGTTCACGCATTATGGAGTGCAATTATATCTCATGTAGCAATATAAAGATGACACTTAAGTGCTTTTTAAACCTTCTGCAAGTTAAGATAAGCTTAAGCATGTAGTATCACTTCATATTCTGATTTATTAGCCTGTGCCTGAGTTCTAGGAAAGATGTTACAGTAAGGCAGAAAAATAGGAGTCCTTGTTGACTCTTATGTTCATGACAGCACATACATAGATGGGAAAAAAGCTACAATTTTATGGTGCTTAACAAACTTGAAGAGGGGGGAGGAAACAATCAAAAGAATACCTTGCCAAAACTGTTTCTTCAGCCAATTCTTCAACTATTGTTGGGTGAAAAGATATTTAAAAGGAAAGAAGGGCCACTTCAGAAAAAGTGCTCTACTACAGTACTTTTCATTTGACCATGCAAATATCACATCAAAACAAAATCAAAAGAACTATGTTTAACATAGGACAGAATATTTACATTGTACATTTTAGATGTCAAAGCACCTAGCTGAGCAAAACGCAAGCCTATGATTCCTCTTCATTCAGTGGAAAATGCCTCCACGGGAAGATTCAGAGCAGCCTTCCTTTTGACTATAAAGGGAATCCACACTCTTAATTTACATATCTACATCAAATTCCTCTCCAAGGAAACTGTTTCCTGGGAGGGTAGTCACTGAGTTTTCAGGACCTAACCACTCTATACCATCAGCCAGCTTCTACCCAGGATGGAAGTTAGCCAAAGGGATGCAGTGCAAGACCTGGAAAAAGTTGCAATACTTCTTGTCTACCTGCCTTCCCTTCTACTTAGTCCAAAAAGTATAACTAACAAGAAGAAAGCAGCAGCCAAATGAAAGCCTACAGATTAAAATACTACAAAAAAGAAAAAAAAAAAAGATTTCCTTAGACAAAATAGGGGGGGGTTGAGGGGTGGTTTCCCCCTCAGAGCAAGATTTTTAAAACATCACCACCACCACCACCACCGCCTAAAATAAGCATACCTTATTTTTACTAAAAATATTTTTCTTTTTAAAGGAGAACAAAACAATATCTCTGTAGTCTGCTGGATGTTTCACATGAGTGTCTTCAGCTCGATACTGGAGAATACGGGAAGTCTTGTTGATTATCCAATAAGGACTGAACACAGACAAGATCATACGGCTTCCAATTCGCCTAGTATGTATGTAAATATCCACTGTCATCACTGTCGCGGAATGGGATGCGAAACACACAGAAAAAAATTCAGGCATCCCATCACAAATTTTAAGATGCCCATTCCAGTCTTTGCCTTGATATTTTATCAACACAAGCTCCATTATTTCTCCATTGATTCTTGAATGAAAAACATCTGCAGCACTCCCTTCTGTCAATTCACGTGTTTCTGCTGTTCCCTGTAGCAAAATTAAAAGGGGCAAATTAAGTTTTTAATATATAAAATTTAGGTATTCAGAAAACAGCATTTTATTCTTCTCTTGCAGGATGCACATGTTTCAGATAGCTCAGTACCACGTGTCCCAGTCTCCAATCACTTTAATTTGAGCCTGATCCTATGAATAATTAGGGATCAACTGCACTTTTCTTGCAGGACAGTAAAGACTGCTTAATTCTGGATCTCAGGAAGGCAGACTAGTTCCAATGTATCCCCTGTCTCTGCTCCCTCCCTGCCTATTCCAAAATTTCCAATGGGTTTTGGCAATGTGTTCTTATTCATATACTTACAATACTGGGTGCAACACTGAATTGGACTGTGCTGCAGATGTACAGCCAGAACTTTTCACATTAAAGAACACCTAAGGCAGAAAGTCAGCAGCTGTGCCATACTGTTTGGTAGCACAGCTTTCCTCAGGCAGCAGCATCCCACAACAACAGCTTTCCTAATTTTTACTGAGAAACAGTGTATGTCACTGTATTGAACAGTGGCCAGGCTTGATTAGTCGAGGGATGTGAAGACAATAAGCACATACCCATCTACAGGTACAGTGACTTCAGCAATAGATTTGAATTACTAGTTTCTAGCTCCTCAATCAAGTCAATGGCACTCTGTTCTACATTCTGTGACTCCGAGTACTCAAGTACAGTGAAGGTAAGGAAAACTGGAAATAGTGCCATTAGGATGTTGGACAGAAGTGAAAGAAAGATCTAAATGAATGCCACAGCCAGTTATGCAAGTAGGACAAAACAGAACAAACTAGGATGATAGTTCTAAATCCTCTCACCTTTTCTATTTACTAAAATCACTAAGCTTGCATGAAGAAATATTAGATACTGAAAATACTGAAAGAAGAGGGAAGAAAGTCTGCACAGCATCCCGCAAAGAAATCTTCATTTGTGCAAGGGACACCTCACAATAGTCCACAGTAAAGAATCAGTGTCAGAATGGAGAGAAGTTCTGTTTTCTACATAGAAGAAAAGTTGCAGAAATTTCAGATGCTTTTTCTTAAGCCCCTTGCTGTGAAACAAAAGATACCTTCCAATACACAAACAGGATCTCAGAAGAATGTAAAAGAGAAAGACCAGTCTGGTACAAGATTCATATTTAAGGAGCAAGGCAGAACTGGCCAGGTATACCCAGATTACAAAAAATTAATCCCCAAAACTCCCAGAATCAATCCATCAGCTGATTTACCATCCATCACTTATTTACAACAGAAAATTGTATAAAATAGAAAAATAGAATAAACAACATCCAGTATCTTCCACACTCCACTTCTAAGTAAATACAGTCTTACTTAAAATCAAGTAAAGGATTTATAAATAAAACCATAACTTACCTCAAGCAAATATCTCAAGGAGTATGGTAAAAGATTCCTCACAGTCAGTGTAGGGTAAAGGTGGATAATATAGGCAGGATCCCACTCCTCTCCATAAGTTGAAATAAAATTCAGTTCATCAGGTACAGCTGTTGAGCTGATTATTAGAGGCAAGAAATTTGTCTCGATGGCTGGGCACTGTAACAAGCACTTGACTTCATTGCTCCTATGTAGCTCTTCCCTCCAGGCAATATAAGTCGTGGACTCTTTAAACTGACCCTCTAACATTCCTGTTGGACGAAGGTATAGATGACACCTATGGGAAGAACACAAATAATGGCACACAATAGCTTTCCATTGACAGCCAACTTCACCCATTTTAAAGTAATTGCTAACATTTTGAAGGGCTTTTGCAGCACACTAATTACCTAACAGAGGTAGCATTTTGGTTTTTTAGCCCAGTCAGAAACAGTTCCAAGTGCAAATTTAAGCTTCCACAGTAACACTATATCTGTGCATCAGTCTCACAAGGATTAGCCTTACAAAACAGAAAAAGTGTACCTGTACGAATGTAAGGGAACATGAAATTCCTCCTCTGGCTTGGATATGCCAATTGGCTCCAGTGACTTGGAGTCTCTAGCCAGTTTATAGATTATAAATGGGATTGAGAAATGGTTCTTGATCTAGGATCAAAACACATAATTGTCATTACATTTCTACGGTACAAATTTCTAAAGGAAAAAGTATGAATAGCAACAAGGAAAAACAACATTAGTAGGTTTAATTAACCTCCTCTGAAAAACAGACTTCTATGCATCTTAGTAAGAAATACTGTTCTGAAGGATAACAATATACAAGCATATGAGAAAATTATGCTACTTTTAAATTCCATGAATTGAAGAACATGCTTAAAATGCCAAGTCACATAAAAAGTACATATCCCAGCCTCAACAATGAGAATATTAGAAAGCCAAAAGTAAAATCAAATTTTTCATTTATCAGGAAGACACACACATACAGAATACAGATAAACTTCACATAACAAATAGAGTAAAATACTTAATAATTTGCCTTTAAGTAACTTTTTGGAAAGTATGATCTCAAAAAAATGCAGTAAGGAAGAAAAGCAAAGTCACTCAGCGAAGAGCATTGCTTTCAGGCTTTTGGTTTGTTTGGTTGGTTTTTTTACCTGTAGAGGAGATCGTACAGTAATAACCTTATTTCCTTCTGCAGCATCTATCTGTACAATGATAGAGTCTGAACGATCAACAAGAAGGTTTCTTATGTTGTACAGTCGACGACCTGGTTTGGCTATGGGAATGTTTACCACTTCTCTATATCCTTGAAGTTCTAATCCATAAAAAAAAAAAAAACAAAAGCCTTAATTAGGCAAAACAAATCACATTACCATTTTTTATTTGAACAATATTTCAGCTTCTCTAAACTCAGCAACAACCAAGGTCAAAGCACTCTCTGACAGAAGCACCTTGAAATAGTATTTGAGCACCACTGAAGGAAAGCTTTAAGGTTAGAATACTCTTGAAGACCATAACTTGAGATTATGATTTATATATAGCGCAATAAATACACCAAACAGTAAACAAAGGTATTTGTTGGGTGAGTTAACAAAATGCAACACAACAACATGATCTTTGTATCATGGCCAAGTACCCTCATATGGGTTGTGATGGAAAGGAAAAAACTCAATTTTTTGAGTTTAACCATGTTGACTCCCCCATCTTCCCATTCTCAACATGTCATAACACACAGCATTTCCTACTATAATACCTAAATTTAAAGAGAAGACGGAGCTTTCTTGTCGGTACAATGCAGACAATTTTCCTCGTTGGTGTGCTTCGAAAACAGAGTATTCCAGTTCCATGTTCTGTCCAATTTCCACATCGTTCATGTTTTCTTTTTCAACTGAACCCACTATCCGAAAATTGGAGCTAGGAAGCACTTTGAGAGGAACACCTAGGGCATTTTTCACTACGAAAGGTGCTGTCTCTTTAAAGGAATAGTTGAACGTGGATGCAGTCCCTTCTGAAAATGCCTGTAATTAACAACATAGATAATACATCATACATAAATAGCCACAGTAACATTTATATAAAGGCTTTTATATATATATATATATAAAAATA